GTGTGTGTGTCTGTGTGTGTGTGTGTGTCCTGTGGGGCCTATGTTTGTTTGGACAGCAGCACAAATAGGGTCAAAGAATCAAGCTAAACATTAGCAGATCAGTTTCTCTTCTTCAGAAGGCATGGAAGTGGATCCCTTTCGGAGGGCTAGGGCAGGGGATGCTACAGACTCTTGGTTTTTGTAGTGGAGAAATCCACCCGATCTGGTGGAAATGTTTGATGAAATCCATGGATGTCTATGTATTCCAAATTAGAAGTGGCTTTCAGACTGGGCTTTTCTGTCCAAAGAGGTGCGGTCCTCATAAACAAAAGCTACTAGTTTCTGATTTTGCTGATCAGCTCATTCAGATTTCTGAGTTGCTAAGAGCCAACCGAAATTCGCCCAGTCGCGGAGCTGCCTTCGACTGGGGTCATGGGACCGCTGGAGTGGCCCTGAGACGCCAGAAGGGGGAATCCCTTCGTGCAGGAAGCAAACCGCATCAGGGGTGACCAAATAGCCTTTGCCACGGTCTGTCTTGAAGAGCACGCCACGAAGGGCAGGGTCTGCACCCCCAGGGCCACGTCCACCTCGAAGTAACCCCACGAGAGTGAGAGCCTGGCAGGGAAAATATGCCTGAAGGCCGTGGAGGAGCTCTTAGCCCATCCTGGCCTTCACCTTCATGGAGGTTAGGAGTGGTTTAGGTTGGGATGAAAGGCATGAAAAAGAAGGGTCTGCTGGATCCCACGGATTGGTGTTTGTGTGGGCGTGCGTGGCCTCTGCTAGTGCCGCCTGCACTTGCCCTTCCCTTCCGGGGGCTTCCGAGGCAGAAGGCGGGACTGATGGCGATGGAAAGCAGAGGCAGCTGGTGGGCAGAAGGGGGGGGGGGGCGTCTCATGGAACTTCCCCTGTTCTGGTTTCCTGCCCATCTGGGCCTGGGCGGCTCTGCTGCGTGGCTTCTCCTTCTCCTCCTCTCTTCTGCTTTCCCCCCTTTGAAGGGTCTTCCTCCCCAAGGATACCTAGAGAGCAGCCAATAGCCACCTTCGGCAAGCTTCAAGCCATATAAGGGAAGGTGGAAGCAACCCCTCCCCCCCAGCGCAACCCCTCCAGCCACCTGATTAGCCCGACTTCATCTTTCCAGAGGCCCAAAGCAAGTCCAGCCAGCTCCTGGGGGACTGCAGCCCCCAAGAGAAACGTCCAGCTATTTCAGGCACCCTCTCACACTTTTCCCCACCTGGGCCTGCTGCTGCCGATGGAGCAAGAGCCGTTGAAGGGGACCGCCTGCCTTCCCCCTTTCTGGGTGTCCTCTTCGACTCAGGAGTCCCAGACCTCTTCCAAGGGGAAGAAAGCGAAGGCCAGGCTGGGCTCAAGCCCCTTCCCTCCTCCACCCCCACCGCTTCCCAGCTTTGATGTCTGAAGCCAGCGTGGGGGAGGGGGCTCTGCCTTGCTCCCTACATAATTGGAGGTTGCCAGATGGCTTTCAACAGGCGGCTGTGTGCAGCGCCCCCCCCCCATCTCCTCGGGCAGCTTTGCTGCAGCACCTGGGCCTCCCTTGGAGTCTTCCAGCTCAGTCTGGCCAAAAACACTCCCGCCCCTGCCCCCTTCAAGAGTGGGGGAGGAAACAAAACTGCTCATCTTTCTTTTGGCTGGGGGGGGGGGCACATTTTGGCCATGATGCCTGTGGGTGCTGGAGACGCCCATGGGAGAACCAGCCCTTCAGCCGTTCTCTGCTTGGGATCAGCTCCCCACCCCCCACCCCCACTTTCATGGGGCCTCCACTCTCATCTTTCCTGGTGTTCTTTTCAGTTCAGTTGAAACATCTCCCACAGATGGTCCTTAACATCTCAAGTGAAAATATTTGTGGTCCATTTTTCCTCTGATGCTGTTTTTTGCCAGTTACCTCAAAATTATGTGAACCCCTCCCCAAATTTTTTGGTTGTGACTTTAACCACATACTGTAGTAGTTGTGCCATTTAAACAAAATGTCCTGGAGTTTGCTCTGAAGATTGATAAGCTTAATTAGAGCATTTTTCTTTTTGCCTAATTAGCAGATTAGTGTATTATTTCCATTCCTTGGTAGCATCATACTTTTTTCCACTCTGCAAGTGAAAAAAACACAACAAAGAGACAGCTGCATCTTTTCCTTTACTGGTGTTATTAGGGTTTTTCCCGCGTATCAATAATAAACCCCCAATTCAACCCAATGCTTCCCTTCCTTGCTGTACATATCAGCCTTTTGCTCAATCGTAGACTGTGCAGTTTTGCCTTTGGGAGGGGTCTGCCATTGATTTGATATCGCTTGTGAAATAGATTTGCTCCTTTCAATCTATTAGTGTTTGTCCATGCTTTGGAAGTTTGTTTCCCCCAGCTTTCAAGATACTGAATTGCTTCCTGGATGTAGCTTGATAAAAACCTCACAGCATGTATTAACTGATTTATTGTTTTGACCTGGCATTTGTAGAATGCCTGATTATGTATGTTCTGAACAACCCATACAATGTGACTATTTTTTGTTTTTAACCCAGCCACCCTAGAATTCCTTTCTAAGGCAGAAAGGATACAAAGGATACTTTTTGGGAAGGATACAAAGTTTGAATATGGGAAGAATTCAACTTACTGGCAAATAATTTACACTGGGTGATAAAATGAAAATTCTGACGGGGAGGTTTTCCTGCCCCCACCCCTCCCTCCTCTTCATCACTGCAATGGCACAACAGCAAACTAACAGGGTTTAAGTTAATTTTGCATTCAAGAGTTTTGTACCTGTTTCTCTCCAGGGGCAAAGAGGGAGACGCTGACACTGCGCCTGTTATATTTTTTGCTAGTCCAGTGATGGGCTGCCAGCCTGTTCTGGGTTTGCCTGGAAATTACAAAATAGGGCTATGGGGGGGTGGCAGAGGTGGCTTCCTATCAGTTTGCACCTATTCGGTAGAACCGGTTCGTCAAATCTACCGAACCGGTTAGAAGAGGTTCCACCAGTGGACCCGGAAAGCAGGCCACACCTACAGAAGAGCTTCCAAAAATTTTTGAAACCCACCACTGACACACAGAAAGAAAGGAAGAAAGAAATAAAGAAAAAA